TCCGGGGTCATTACACTGTCCAGACATCACGCGATGCGATGGCGTGTGGTGTGAAAAACTTAATCAGTTGCTATTGTTTTACACGGGACGTTACTTGTAGTGTGAGATTTGATATTGTTTCTGTGACGTTCACGGTAAATTCAACACAATGCACACTTTTTAGGTCGGGCAGACCGGATTACTAGACAGCGGACGTGGTGCAACTGGTCGGATGGTCGATGTATTCAGTGTGAATATTGGACTTGGGGCCGATCAATGCGGTCAGTGTTCGGAGTAGACAGTGGTCGGATTTCACAGGTTGTTTTAACATAGGAGTCTATGGAGAAATTTCGGGACTACATAAATCGGTCGGTTCTGACAGTAGGTCGGTTTATCCAGGGGTTGGTTTTGACAGGTTTTACTGTACTTCTCTCAATGGTACTTGTTATTATATACTGGGACACAAACTGGAGATTAGGCAGCATTGGTTTATACCAGCCAATATTCTGGGCTGCAAATTAACAGATTTTTTATCTCTGTTGTGTAATTTGTTATCATACATATCATCTACTTTACCTAGCGTAGATTTAAAGAAAATCTTACCATTTTGATCAAGGCTGCTTTGAAGTCTTTGTACTAATTCAGCTTTATTACCTTTGCTGTCAAGTCCCTTGTCTTGGAGAAGTTTCCTGAGCTCAGGAACCTACACGAAGCAACAGGAATAAGAATAGCAAAACAATAGGGTCAATTTCTTAGGTAAAGACGTGTTTTCTTGAACTTAGAGGTTGATTATGTTGTGTCAAAAGGAATGTATTTATGACAATGATTAGTGTAAGAGTTGACATTTTGGTGGATAAAAGTCAAAAAACGACTGGATAAAGGGACGCCATATTAAGTTTAAATAATTAACTGAGGACTGTCAAACAATGTCAAGCTACGTTGGGCCACTGAAACAGGGTGCACTATCTAATCTCCACACACAGTTCCTAAAGCGTTTCTCATTATCGTAAAGCGGATACAGCGTGGACAATGAAAATAATGTTTGCAAATTTGAACAGATACATGTAATACAAGCCAGAAATACTCTTAGTTGTTTTTAATGAATACTGTGGTTAGTATTGTTTACTGTTATGTCCCAAGCGCTTGTACATGTACGTGGTGATAAAGAGCATATTCGGGAGACTAAATTGTGACTATTTTTATTTTTTTATCGCAACTACTAAATCTAGTCTTTGCAGTCACACTAAAAGTAGGTGAACAAATGAGTATTTATTTTAGATACATGTGTAATACAAGTTCTGACCACCCTTGTCTAACCAACCTCATGCACTTTAGGAAATGTAAACTAGTCTGCATGTAACAGTTCTATTTTGTGATACAAGTGGCTGTGGTCGGTCATTAGGTTTTCACACGGAATGCATTGTCTCAAATTTATTATCTTTAAAATTTCCATTTATCAGTAGCGAAAGTGCACCTTGCAATGAATGTTTTTTTATTGTTGACTATAGTGAGCATGACAGCATCCTAAGCAATGAACCATATTCCGCTCACTGCGAGATCTTGGGTGGCCAAGCTTTACGTCCTTAGCAACTAGTTTTAATCACGTTACACAGGTCAAGCTTTACCCTAGAGACGGTGGTAGCGCCATTGTTCACTCCGCCGAATTCTGTTCACACAACAATATCAAGTGTACAAAAACGCTCTTATGGTGATCTGAAGGATAACACGAATGTTGAGTTTTTTACACATTTCTCGAAACCCAAAACACAACCTGGGAAATGTGATGGGTGGATCAGTGCCTGTTCTCATGCCGATGACTTACAGTACTCGACCACGTTAGCGTCCAGTGTCCTTACTCAGAAAATCATAATTATTTAGCGATGGACGCACCCCTCGGAAAACAGTGCAAATGACAATGTTAATTGACTATGCGACAGATTAGGGGAGATATTACATCTTTGAGGGAAATAAAATTACAAAATTAATTTAGTTGTCATTGAATGATGAAACAGTAATGGTCACAAAAAAATATGCACATTTTATTACAATATTAATTACATACCACCCGAATTTACGAGGTTACAAATACAGTGGCCCCTCGCTAAGTCGCGCCTCAATAAGTCGCGAGTATCACCATGGCTCCCAAAATCATAGTACACATCATGTACAAGTATTGTTTTTGATGTCCAGTTTTTTTCTTTGTGCATGAGTCTGTTCGTTTTTATTCATAAATGTGCAAAGTTTTAAACAGCTGTAAAATCGGCAATGAAAAAAGCATGCTGACTGGCAGACTATGATTACGAACAGTGCCATCAACTCGCACCATATTTCAAAGGTATGCCGGTACACACACCGCGAGTACGCGGCCAACAAGTGAACATAACAATGGCTAGGTGTGAAAGTGTGATCGGCTTTCAGTCAAGAAATAAACACCATTTTCGGGTTTACTTTGATGAACGCGTTTAAAAACTCACTGAAACAGCCACTGGCTTCATTCTGATCTCAATTTTTCAACTGAGCAGCATGTCTAAACGAAAGTTAACAAGCATTTCTGTAAGAGATAAACTTGCAGCGATTGACCGAGTAAGGAAAGGTGAAACCAAGGCAATGATTGCACGTGACCTCGGCGTAGGTGAATCCACTATTTGCGGATGGGTGAAGTATGGTTTATTCAAGAAATATATGCAGGAACGCCACTGTCTGGTCCCATCATACGGGAGAAGGCTCACGTCCTGGCTAAACAATTGCGAGGACAGGACTTTGACTTTGAGGCCAGCGCTGGGTGGTTCTGGCGTTGGCAAAATAGACACCCTGTCCATGAAATTTCTGTACAAGGGGAGGCTAGATCAGCGGATCTTGAGGCTGCAAGAAACTTTCCAAAAAAATTGAAAGAAATTATCGAAGCTGGTGGTTACTCGGAGGAACAAATTTATAATGCTGACGAAGCAGGATTATTTTCGAAAATGTTGCCATCTAAGACACAAGCATCAGCAAGTAACCCACAGAACGTTGGACACAAACAAAATAAACTGCGGATTACTGTCATGTTTACTGCTAATAAGATAGGCAGTCACAAACTTAAACCCGTTGTGATTGGAAAAAGTCTTTGACCGTGCTGTTTTCATCATGTAAACACTGACAATTTGCCGATTGTGTATATTGCTTCTGGAAACACGTGGACATGCACTACATGTACATGTATATTATCAATGAAGACCTTTTAATAAAGACCCCCCTTTTTCTGTGTGATATAACGTGTTGATTGTTTTTATTCTGCCCCTTTGTTTGAATAAATAGCCACTTTCCCAAGAACCTTGCTAAGTCGCGGCCCTCGATAAGTCACGGTTTTCGCTTGGACCCAGACACCCACAACTTAGCGAGGGGCCACTGTATTGTTCGAACACATTCAAAGTCAAAATCTTCATTGTCAAATGTTTTGGATCGTACGCAAACTCTCAATGAAAAGCATTTTTCGCCATGACATATTCTTGCACGATTTGACCTAATGGGTCAACCAATCAGAAAGCTGTAATTCTTTAGAAATTCCCCAAAACTTTCTGGTACCGCAGTGCGAAAGTGAATTATCAATGTCGATGTACGATCTGTTGGAATAGATTTCAGCGAATAAACGGCATGATTTTTTCAAAAACTGGTAACTAGCAATTTTTGATACATGTGGATAAATTGAATATGGCATGAAGTATTTGCCACATTTCACTTTTATTAACAAGTCATTGTCGAAGTGTAGTTAACATGTTGTAGCATTCACAACATAATCACGGTGGTCAATATCCACGCTATGTCATATAAAAGCGATTACCAGTATTCATTAAGTAAATTAAAAGCATTTTGAAGGGGGTGGGCACTTAGCCGAGCATGCACTACTCTGACATCGTAGTTCAATGATATGAGGGGGGTGGGGGTGAATATGATATGGTAAATCTGCATTTCAGACAAACACTATTGTTATACAACACTATTGTATACTAAGATGAAAAGTGAATGTATACAATAATATATTGTATATCTTCTCTGAACAAAAGACATTTGGAAGATTAAAATCAGTTCACTGTCAAGATCATGACTATCACTTGTAGATAACAGACTTCAATCTGAACACATGTTTATTTTCACTGTAGAGATTTTTTTAATCTCATCATTCACACCACCAAGAAGACTCACACCTTTTGTGTTTCAGTATATTTCTTTGGTAGATTTTTAGTTTAAATTACCAGAAACTTTTTTTAAATTTGTTTTCGTGTGCAAAGTTTATTATTACAAACATTACAAAATGGTTAGCAACATTATTGGGATACATTGTAATTAGTAAATTAACTTGAATAGTTCTTAGAATAGAACCCCCAATAATAATTTAGTTTGCCAATGACCGTGACACTGACCATAAAAGGTATCTTTCATATTATACCTCCATTCTAGGACTAGAACAAAGCAAAAGGGTCTGTTTATCAAAATCATACAAGTTCATTGACCCCCCCAAGTGTTTAATTTTTGTTGCAACCATAACACGAGGTCTGGGTCAAGCGACAATCGAACATTTTCCGACAATCAATATCAAGGTACAAATCGCAGCTGCAGTTTTTGCTACACGTGTGACATAACGAATGTGTGAGAGAAACTAGACTTGAGTCGCCGCATGTTGCAGGTCGCAAGCAGCGTTTCAATGAAAAAAAATGTCGCGCTCGTCGAACGAACTTGGCGCCGAAGTTTACCAAATTGTGTCATCGCAAAACATCCCCATGGCATTGCAGCACCCATGCATGTTATTTTACTGTTACTTTTCAATCTGATATCAGTAATTCTGCAATCGATACTCTGAGTATTTAACGGAATGTCAATACAACAACATACCTTCAACTTCTTCAAATCAACACCGGTATCCGCCATTTTGATGATGCGTTGCTTGAACTACCCGGATGACTAACCTTTGACCCACTACGCCAAATTAGAACTGCTTTCTTGAACAACTTGCACGTTCAGAAACATTTACATTATCCCGAAAACTAATCTTATATATTATTTCAGTACAATCAACATAAATAGCAGACAACGACGTGAAAATCATTTCCAGCTTATTCCCTTCTTGTCGCCACCATCGTCAGAAGACGGAAAGTCGTTTGTTTATGAGAACCACAGTGCCTCAACGTTGAGGGACTATTATTGTGTGGGAAATACAGTCAATAGGACTGTTGTAAACGAGCCACGGGTTTTCACCACCAGATAAAACTACACCGCACAGACAATAGGAATGTGGATTCGTATTTTTTTTTTCTTTTTCATATTACACTGAATCACTGGAATTTGTAGCGTTTTTTTAACCATAGCTTAGAAGAGATGGATGCAACTATTAAACAACCAGGATTAAATGTGTTTTTTTCCTGCCTATTAAGGTATCTCCACTCATGTGCCATATGACTATTATCGTATTATTGCAGAATTGCATTATATAACCCGCTAACATTAACATATATCAGGTGACAAATTGTCATTACGTCACTACAAAACTAGAATCATCAAAAAGATTGTTCTATAATCTGATGACAAATTAGTACGTAAAATCTGTATTGAAAGCCGCATCCCTGATAGAAGTCACATTTGAATATTTGAGAACCAAACATTCATCATTTCTCATATGTTTAGATGCTCTAATAGAAGCCGCATCTCCTCTGTTGCATGCATTGTACCATTTTAATAGAAGCAGCGGTTTCTAATACAGATTTTACAGTAATGTCTCTCACACACATCTCACCGCAGCCTATTACCAGTAGTATTATCTGTTGACATTATTCTGTCATTATCACCATACAATTGTAACTCCATAGACAACTCCAAACTCTTGTGACATAACTTTATATTTACGTGATAATTGTTAACATTAATTTCATGACAAAATTATAAAAGCTCCGAACACAAACACAACATTTCTACCATCTCAGGATGCAACTTCCTATCCTAGTGACATAACTTAATCAAGATGTCACAGATTAGAACAGATACATTTATGCATTGCATACAACAAGCACTGTCACAAAATATCAATTGGCCTGTATTAGGGAAAAGTCACCAAGTATCGTCTTTCATATCATCACTATCTTTTTGGTAAAAAAGCTGCACCAATCTTATCAGAATGGTAATAGGTTAATTTAGGGATAAGCATCTATGTACCAAGTTTCATTGAATCTGATGTGATTGAGATATTGGTGGAAAAATTAAATATTGGCTAATTATGCATGGATTTCAACCAAAAACTAATAAGGTCTGTGTCCATTTTTCAAGAGCATCTACTGTAAAAATTTTTAGCTGGAATTAATTTTTGCTGATTAGACATTTTGGGTGTTTTGTATGGAATTTATTTTCACTGATTTTTGACGAGTTGAATGTAAAATGTAGGAAAAAAGGTATATTTGCTAGATTTTATTTTCACTGAATCATTCCTTCAGCCAAAATATTGAAAATTTATTTCAAGCAAAATTAAAGTATTTTACAGTATGTACCATTTTTCACTAAAATTAGTTGAATGGTACTTGAGAAACAAGTGAAAATGCTTATAACCTTTTCCAACAGTTATTCCAGAGCATCTACGAATCAAGTGTCATTGAAATCGGTTTGATGGTACTGAGAAGCAATGGAAAATGCTTACAATTGACAAATTAGGTAATTAATATGCATCAATCTAAAACTAATTAGGTCTTTAGCATTTCCCCCACACACTAAGGTACCAAGTCTTATTGAAATGCAGTAATTGTTCTTCGAGACATTGGTGGAAAATTGGTTAATTAATATGCAAATTATGCAATTAATATGCATGGATTTTGACCCAGAAACCCAGAGCACCTATGTACAGTGGAACAGACTTGCACGCACACTTACAGACAGGGTAACTGCAGACTCCCAATTGTGTGCTTTGCACATGGAATACCAGATGTATTTCTTGCCTAGGAATAAAATTCATTTTATTTTAGTAGTAGAAGCTACATACTTTCAACACCACCTTACAATCATACACTTGACGTTTTTTCACAGCATTCACATTAGAAGAAACTTTTTCTTGGTCAGAGGTTTATTAAAGCTTTTGCATAAAAAATAAAGCTTGCCACTATAGCAAGAGGACCGTCGTCTAACCAGAGTCGGAAGTAACTTTGTCCCATCTGCTCGTTTACAAAGTAGACACATGATCAGAAATAAACAATTATCTCGTGTTTTATTGATATGTCCCTGCTGCCCTTGTTGAAATTTTAAAATTTTGTGACATCAAGGGATAATCTTCAACATTTTATTTATCTGTGTTTGCCCTTGACATACAACTTCTCCAGGGTACACCCCTGGGGTGCTTAGGTGAGAAGGAAGGAATGGACTATTGAGACAACAGCCAATGCTTAGGTGAGAAGGGAGGGATGGACTATTGAGACAACAGCCAATGCTTAGGTGAGAAGGAAGGAATGGACTATTGAGACAACAGCCAATGCTTAGATGAGAAGGAAGGGATGGACTATTGAGACAACAACCAATGCTTAGGTGAGAAGGGAGGGATGGACTATTGAGATAACAACCAATGCTTAGGTGAGAAGGGAGGGATGGACTATTGAGACAACAGCCAATGCTTAGATGAGAAGGAAGGGATGGACTATTGAGACAACAACCAATGCTTAGGTGAGAAGGGAGGGATGGACTATTGAGACAACAGCCAATGCTTAGATGAGAAGGGAGGGATGGACTATTGAGACAGCAACCAATGCTTAGATGAGAAGGAAGGGATGGACTATTGAGACAACAACCAATGCTTAGATGAGAAGGGAGGGATGGACTATTGAGACAACAGCCAATGCTTAGGTGAGAAGGGAGGGATGGACTATTGAGACAACAACCAATGCTTAGATGAGAAGGGAGGGATGGACTATTGAGACAACAGCCAATGCTTAGGTGAGAAGGGAGGGATGGACTATTGAGACAACAGCCAATGCTTAGGTGAGAAGGAAGGGATGGACTATTGAGACAACAACCAATGCTTAGATGAGAAGAAAGGGATGGACTATTGAGACAACAGTCAATGCTTAGGTGAGAAGGGAGGGATGGACTATTGAGACAACAGCCAATGCTTAGGTGAGAAGGGAGGGATGGACT